GGCCCCCCCCCCCCCCCCCGGTGGTGCAGGGTGGTGGGTGGTGGTGCTCAGTTTTTCTCCTCCCCCACCCCTTCTTGATGGGCAGTTCTCTAGTGTTTAGATAAAGCTCTTGTGACACTTAACTGTTTAACAGAGTGCTCCCATTGATGAGGGATCCGCTGTGAAATGAGCCTGTGCTATTAGGACTTGATTGTCATTCAAAATAGCGTCTTATTTCTGGAACAGCTACAGTAGGTACTACCTTGTGTTCCCTTAACAAAAGTCCTGATCATGTTACTTGCCTGCCCTGTGGATACCTCTACATGAGCACAACTACTCAAAAAGCACAGAAGCTGTAAACAGCTGTTACTTTTGGGAAACAAACAATTCCAAAGCTTTTATTTCAGTAGACTAGGAACCGCTGGGGAGTGGGTATCTTTAAAACAACTAGATCTGATTTCCCACCCCCTATTCCTCTCACTGTGCTCTGTCTTTGGTGCTGACTGTATTAAGTTGTTCTCAGTTCAACCCAGCAGTTACACTATTTGTTCAGAGTTCAGGTTGCAACAGTGTCTCTGACCACAGTATGTTTCTTCCTGTTGCTGATTTGCTCTGACAAAGGCCAACAGCTGGGATACTGAGCCGAGAACAGGAACCCGGGATTGCATCCTTGAGATGACCCTGGTACCTGTTCTTGTCAGTTTCTCTATCCTGGCAGGAGTGAATGGAGCTAGGTTTATTCTCATCTTTCAGGGTCCACAGCGTGCTCAAAGGCACCTTGGAAAAATAAAGATTTTCTCTTAACAGCTACTTTGTATTTTCCCCCCCGGGGGTCTCTATCCTTGACATAGCTCTGTCTGCGCGGTGGAGGCAGCTGCCTTTGCGGACTGGCCTTGTGCCCCGAGCCCCATTGCAACTGGCCTGGGAGCAGCTCGATTCCACATGCATCCCACTGCTGGGCTGAGCCTTGTACCCTGCTGGACGCACATGGCGTTGGGCTGCTCCCAGAAGGGCTGCAGCGGGTCTCAGGGCACAGAGCCCAGTCCACAACGGCTTCTGCCTCCACCACGCACAGATGGGGGTAGCATGTGCTGCCCGGGGCCTCTGCCAGGGTGTGCACAGTGGCAGGAGCACCCCCCACACCCTTGGACTAGCCACCCAGGCTCAATCCTTCCCCACTCACCTTGCCCCTGCTCATGCCTCTGTGGTACTCTGTCCCTCACTGTGGGGGCCTCGATCTGGCCCCTGCATCTTTCCTTCCCAAACAAACTGACCTGCTAGGGTGGGGCATGTGCATGCATGCACATGCGTGCTTAGCCCCCCACAGCCTCAGAATGACTCCAAGAGGCTCTGATATCAACCGGTAGGTGACCACTGGTGAAGGGAGTGAAGGGAGAAACCTGTATTAACTATAAATGTACTCCCAGGGTTTCTAATAGTGGAGTTACTATGCTGGTATCACATTGAATATTGCTTTGAAAGATGGTTGTTTTTCCTGGTGGCCAGTAGTAACAAGATCAGTAAATGCTTAGACATCTGCATTTTGCTGGAAGCCCTCAAGTCTTTAGCCTTGGAGAGTGAACAGCTAAGTTAAAACCTGGCTAAGGCCTGCAACCTTGATAGGATTATTTTATGTAATTTCACCCTGTGCCCATCTCTGTTACTGGGTTTAGGTTCACCCAGAGAATGAGGACTGGACATGTTTCGAACAGTCTGCATCCCTGGACATCAAGTCATTCTTTGGCTTTGAAAGCACTGTGGAGAAAATAGCGATGAAGCAGTATACGGCCAACATCAAGCGGGTGAGAGATGGGGTCCCCTAGCTCTGTGAAATGCAGACCAAATGCCTAAAGCACATTGGAACATTGGAGATGGGGAATGGCCTTAAGTTAACTGGCTGTTGAGCTCCAAGGTTGCCATGACAGTGGATGTAAAGTGTTAAGAGAAACAGCATTTCTGGTAGTTAGAGTAAGGGGTGGGGCAGTCATGAGGCCTCCTAGGTTCATGGGCAAACTTGTCCAAGATAATTCTATGGGGAAAGTCACCTAGTCACTCTGCATCTTCTCTTCCTTAGTAAAATAGATACAATGGAAAGGTTGTTGTGCCCTTTCTGTGCTTCATTTCACTCTGCCTTGCATCTTGGAAATCACTTGGTATGACACAGCAAAGGTTAAGTCAGCATCCAGCAGGCAAAGCAATCTGCTCCTTGGAATGTCTCCACATAAAGGTTGGCACGGAATGATTTTTGGATGAGGGTTGTGGATGATACGGGACTGCTGGGCTTCTCAGAGCCCTGTCCTCACACACGGGAAGGACAGGCTCTGAGTGATCATCAGCCTTGCTTCATTAAAATCTTGGCTCTGGTTTGATTATGGCAGGCTGGTGGCTTCAGGGCCATTTTAGTTCATTAGGGTTGCAGGAGAGTGAGGGCTTGGGTTGGTCTATGCAAGCCTGGTGTCCTACCCCATGGCCTCAAAACAACACTGTATGCTCAAATCTATTTTTAGCTCAGGAAGCCACCTCATTTAGCAACATTTTTCCTCTTTCTATGGAAGGTGTTTCATATGCCAATGGAAGTTTTCCTCACAGGTCCTGACAGATAGTTGTTGATTCCTTTCCCTTCTGTTGTCTTCCAGTTGCATTACATAATGATATTAAACATGTAGATGTGCCCCTTTTTCCTTGGACCGAGGGAAGTATTCCCCTCTCATTTATAGCTGGAAAACTGATTTCTCCAGATATCAAAACTCATTTCTCCACTATTTCTCTCTGTTAATACTTCCAGGGCAAAGAAGTGATTGAGCATTATTTAAAGGAACTGATCTCTCAGGGAATCGCATTCATTCCCCGATGGATGCCTCCACCTGTGAGCAAGGAGGAGGAGAGGACCCTGACTGTTGGACGTGACCTTGACCTTGCATCAGAGGAATCGTGTGCTCATGGAACTACCAAAGAGCAGACCTGCAGCTCCTGTCTGCCGGTGGAGGCAGCCAGCCCTGATGGTATGTAGCTTCCCCAGGCAGGAGTATAAGCCTGGGTAGAGCAGTGTTAGTAACGGATTCACAGCAGTTTCAGATAATCAACATTTTCCAATATGAAATGTCAGATTTTTGTTTTGTGACTGACAAAAGACTTGGCTTCACTCAATACAGTGTTTCTTTTTGATTTTGTGCTTTTAAAGTGTTGAAGGAAATTTAGAAAAAAGAAGTCATTTTTACTTAAAAAAATCAAAAATTTTGATCTGAAACATTACAACAAAATGTTTTGACTTTTTCAGGAATTCTGTCTCCGCCCCCAGCCCCTTGGCCTAGTACAAAAAATATGGAGAACAAGACAAGCTTGTGAAATGCTTGTGTTACCAAATCTGCATTTTTCTCCAGAGATGTTATAGACAATATTATTTTTTATCTGTATACAGTACTTTTGCTGGGATTCCCAGATGACACTAAGATGTGGGGAGAAGTGGGCATGCTAGAAGGGAGGAATAGGCTGCAATCGGACCTGGACAGGTTACAGGG